TTTATTCTTTTGTTATTACAATTTTGTTAAAGTTGTGTCATGGAAGTGTAATATTTATTTATTTTTTATACTTTTTCATATTCTCAATAAGATTCTTATTATCAACCTCAATACAATTTCTGGCTGCAATGTTTCATAGTTTTATATTAAAATTATTTCATAGAAAAATGCCCTTCAAGAGCACATAAACAGAAAATTTTACTAATGTATTAACTCATATTGTTTTATTTATTAGTCTTCTACTTCCGTCATTAATAGAAGCAACATTTCATTTATGGGCTACTCTTTCTGCCATCCGTCCTTGATATGATAACCTCACAGCATTTAAAATATAATATAAACCCTATAATTAAACTATTCAATAAATATTCATTCTCTACTATGATACCTGATGCACAAAATCCAATTTTAAAAGTGAGAAAAAAACACTTTTAAATTGAACCAAATACAATATCATGTCATATTAGACAACACTACAGTGGTCTTTAATGGAGAATCTCAACATCACCAACTCACAATGGCACTTTATATGCTGGCCTCAAAAGCTACATCCTACAGTGCTCTTTACTCTAAAATAAGAAAACCCTCAAACTCTAAATCTTAAAAAAGTCTCATTATTGTTTTGTTAACAATACCCAAAATCAGAAGATATAACCAGCTTCATGATAATGGCATTCTGGGTTAGTTTTTAGTTACCTTCACTTTATGGGTACAGCCATTACTGTCCTCATTCTGCTGTATGAATTTTACTGCTGTCACAAGGATATTAAAAGCCTAATGTCTTTAAACTATTATGTCCTTTAGCTCTAGATTATTTGCCAATATCTCCTTACTTGAATATATATCTTCAGAAAAACTAAACAAAAAACATATAACCCAAGCACTTTTGAAAGATAGACTTTCCTTTATCAAGGGAAAATATTCAGATAGTTGATAATGAAGAACTCACTTTTTAGAAAATAAAAAGTTTGAAATGGCTTGACCGGGTAATGAAAAACTTTATTATAAATGTATGAAGTTTGACAAGATTTTTTGTCAAAACATTGTACATTTATAATAAACTTTTTTCATTACCCAGTCAAACCATCTCAAAACTTTTAAATATTCAGATAGGTTGTGATACATATCTTCAACTCACAATTATATCCAAGCTAGAGATGCACTGTTGAATAATTCTGAATATGTTGTAAACCACACGTTTAAGTATTAAATATTTCTCACATGGTAACATGCTGCTACAACCAGGATCAAATAAAAAAGAATTTATTAAACTTGAAAAATCACACAGAAATCCAAAACTTTCAAACCATTGGAATACATTTTTTTTCACTTAGAAAAAAAAACAGTTAGTAAATCTGTGCCTGGCCAGGACTTGATACAAACATTAATGAACAATAAAACATAAATATCAATATTATTAACTTCAATAATAAATAATCAGAAAAAAGAACCCGGAGAAGAAAAAAACTAAATTACAAGAAAACACAATATTCCAAAATTAAACCACATCAAAATCAATACCAAGTAACGATCAACAATAATTTGTTTTAATTATATCTCATGAACTAATTCACTTAAGCTCAAGGCAAGGTTTTTATTAAGTGATTAGACTATAAGGTTACATCTCATGTAACTAGCTAATTTACATGATCTTTCACAACATTAAAATCTGTATGTCAATGCCAGGGGAAGCTTGTGTCAGTTTCATAATACTAACAAACATACAGTTCAGGGTTCGGATCTCTGTTCAGAGTGGGAGATAGTGAATTTTACTTTGTTATGGTTTTGTTTATTGTTCACTTATTATTCCTTCTGTCGTTTAGTTCAACTATGAATTTCAAGTTATATTAAAGTACTAACTCATCTTCTAGAGCACATTGATTTTTAGAATGTTTTTGTCTTATGAAACTCACACAAGCTTCCCTAGCAGGGATGTACAGATATTAATGCTGTAAAAGATTATGTAAATTAGCTAGTCCCACAACATGTTACCTCATGGTCTAACCACTAAATTAAAACCCTGCCTTGAGCTTAAATGAGTTAGTTCACAATATATAACTAACACAAATTATTGGTGATTGTTACTTAATATTGCTATTGATATTGAAGTGGTTTAATTTTGGAATATTGTTTCTTCAGAACCAGGTTTTTTTCTTCAGCTTCTTTTTCCTAATTCCTTTATTTATTCAAGTTAATAGTATTGTTATTTATGTTGTATCGTTCATTAACATCTGTACCAAGTCCTGGCCAGGCACAGAATTATTAACTGATTTTATAAGATAAAAAAATCTGTATTCCAACTGTTTGAAAGGTTTGCTTTGGATTTCTGTGGTTGTCCAAGTTTAAATTATATTTTTCTTTAACATTATGTTCTGGGACAACATAGGACCTGTTGGTTCAACTTAGCTGTTCCATCCTCAAAACTAAATTATTTTTTTAATCTTAAAGTCAGCCCTTTTTCATTCATATACTTATCAAGCTTTTTCTTAAACTCAAATGAATTTATTGCCTCTACAACATCTGAAGGCAACCCTTTCCAGAGGCCAACCACCCTGTTAGAAAAATAAAACTGTCTTAGCTGAAGATGACTCTTACCTTGCCAAAATTTATATTTGTGACCCCTAGTCCTGCTATTATCATTGTTAAATATATATAAAAAAAGATGATGCATCAACACTATCAATTCTCTTTACAATCTTAAACACCTCAATCAGACCTCCCCCCCCCAACTCTTCTTTTTTCAAGAGAAAACAATTTAAGAGATTTCAGCCTCTCCTCGTAGGACAACCCCTCAATCC